TTAGGTGTACAGGACGATGCTCCAACCAACTGAGCCACACCGGCCAGGATGAGGTAGGCCTCTTTTTTTTTTTTTTTTTATCAAGATTCCTCAGAATTGAAGTGTGGCCACCAGTCATTGTCATCATCACTGTTCACATTTATAGAGCCCTTGCTATGTGCTAGGGACAATATTAAACACTTTATATCCATGTTTGATAAATCCCTACAACAACCCCATGAGGTATAAATATCTCTCTTATGTCCATATTACAGATGAGGCAACCAAGGCTTGGAAGGGTTGGCTCTAACATGTCTGTGGTCAACACCACTCGTAAAGGGGGGAGAAAAGATTCGTCTCCAAGTCTGTTTGCTGCACAGCCTGACGTCTGCACTCACAGCCTCCGATGGTAACTTATTGTAGCAAACATGTGTTGACCCACAACCAAAACTGTGGGAGCCATCCTGCAAACAGTCTTTCTTGTTGGGTCCCCTCTGTCTGGAGGCCTGACCTTTAGAGCCCAGCTCACTGGCACCCTTTTTAAAAATATATATATTTTTATTGATTTCAGAGAGGAAAGGAGAGGAAGTGAGAGACAGAAACATCAATGATGAGAGAGAATCACCAACCGGCTGCCTTCTGCATGCCCCTCACTGGGAATCAAGCCTGCAACCCAGGCATGTGCCCTTGACCAGAATCGAACCTGGGACCCTTCAGTCCGAAGCCCGACGCTCTATCCACTGAGCCAAACCAGCCAGGGCAATGGCACCCGTTTTGGTCAGCCTTTCTTGAAGTCCTCACAAGCAAGGACTCCACTCTCCTCAGAATGTTGTCTGAGTATCTCAGTTGGCCCATTCGCTCTCTGAGGTGTGTGACAGCTGAGTGTGTACATTATGTGGGACAAACACACCTGAGTGAAAACACTTGTTTTGCCACCCACTTACCAGGTGCCTATGGATGAGATCCTCAGCCCCCTGAGGCTCAGATGCCACATCTGTAAAGCAGTAGTGACATCTCCCCCAGGGGGCTGTGGTGAAGATGCCAAGAGTTGGCCCATGTAAAGGGCTCAGGACGGTGCCTGGCACACAGTAGGTCCTGTAGGACACACCCCTGCAGACTGTGAGCTCTCAGAGGGGAGGGCCCATCGCTAGCCCTGCCAGAATAAATCTGTTTCCTATTTTGCATATAGTAAATCTCAAGGCCTATCTGCTGAATTAATGGCTCTCTACTTAATTCCCTCAATTCTTAAGAATGATCTGCTAAAAATGAAACCAAACCAAACCTCAGTAAAAAGAAACAAAACAAAAACCTCATCTGGAGACAGCTCCCTTCAATGACCTGCTCTGGGTTAGCACTACGGAGCACTGGGTGCGGCCAGAAGTCATCATTGATCAGCAGAGGGAATGATCCAATGTGAGCTCTGGGTGTGACTTCCGCAGTTTATCTGGGCACTGTATCCGGAACGATGATGGAAATTGAGTTCCTTTCAACACGACTTTGCCTTTTCTCTTTGGTGCAGAATTCGGGTGAGATCTGGATGGAACGAGGTGGCATTCGTTGCTGTCCAGAGCTGTTGGTTCAGAGAGAGGAATATGGCATTTGGGTCCAGACAGACCTGGGTTTGCTTTCCGACTGAGTAACTTGGGGCAAGGGACTTGACCTTTCTGGTCTTTGGCTATACTACCGTGAGGTCAGGAACCCCAATGAAATGCTGTGAAGAGCAAGCAAACGACATTAGAAAAAGACTTTATAAACGGAAATTTCTGTATGAATATTAGAAATATATTCAGATTATTCTTTTGTAAGATGAAGTGTGTAATGAGATGAAGACTTTTAAGTAATTAAGTGAGATTATGTATGTAAAGCACTCGAAGGGCGCCTGGTACTTAGTGCTCATTATGAGATCAACTTGTTAATACCCCAGTATGGCTCTCACATCTGCCATTCCTCTACCTGCTGTCTCTGCTCCAATGTCACCTTCACAGCCAGGACTTCCTGGCACCAAATTTTTCACATCAATCCCCACTCCTAACTGCCCTTTGCCCTTAGCATTCCTGACACTCCCTACCTGCTTTATTTTTCTTCATGGCATTTATCACCGTTTAATATACTAAATATCTTACCTAGTTTATTGGTGTTACCTCTCCCCCCGCCCAAGTAGAATGCAAGCTCCATCCAGGAGGGTGGGATTTGTGTTTATTTTGTTCACTGCAGCACGCCCAGTGCCCAGACCAAGGGCCAGATAGTTAATATCTTAAGCTTTGCAGGACATACAGTCACTGTCACAACTACTCAACTCTGTTGTTATAGCCTGAAAGCAGCCATAGAAGTATGTCAACAAATGCACATGACTGTGTTCTAATACAACTTTATTTAGAGAAACAGGTGGCGGGCTGAATTTGGCCTGTGGGTCACACTTTGCCAACCCCTGGCTTAGATCATTGTCTGCCACATTGTAAATGCTAAATAGATATTTGTTGAATAAGTTAATCTGTGACTAAATGGATGAATGAGCACAAGATACCTGGTACAGTGCCTGGTGCACAGCTTGCACTCAATAAATGCATATTCCTTTCTATTGTATACTTGTCAAAGGAACTAAAAAAGAGGGTTTATTAGAAATAAATGATAAAGACTTATTCTAGGGTCTTACAATTTGCAAACTATGCACACAGCTAGGCAGAAACCTAGAAGTGTTCTGAAGAAGAAAGAAAAGAGTCCTTGTAGTAAAAAGTACATTCTTGAGAATTATCTGTCCTGCATTTTTAGCCCTAAGATTGATCCATGATTGTTATCAGTCAGATGCCAGGGGTCTGGATAATCGATATCAGGTGGACTGGCTATGTGAGTCCTTTGGGGAGTAACCAGAGGTTTATCTGGAGGTCTGGTGTATGTCCAGATGTGTATCCAGGCATTGACACAGGATTGGAAAGTCCAAAAAGTTTATGTTCCCGAGCTAGTTAGAACAAGAATAGGATAGCTCCTCATGCACTAACCTTCATAATGTTAACAATTTTAGCAGCCTGGCTAAGCGACTCAATTTTATGTATTTCCTATATTCACCCTTTCCTCATACTTGATACAAGATAGACCATGATGTATTGTATTCGAGGTAGAGAGAAAGTGCCCAGGGAGTACTGAGGTGGGGGACTCCTCCTCTTGGGATAAAGGAGGACTCCAAGGGGGTCTCAAGCTGGGCTCCCCCAGAAGCAGACCCTGAATCAAGGATTCTAAGGCAAGCAGTTTATTTGGGAGGAGATCCCAGGAAACATCAATAGAGGAGCGGGGAAATGAGAGAGGGAAGGGCCGAGAATAAATGCAGGGTGTGATAATGAACAAGCAGGTTACTGCTGTGGGCAACCGGCCTGGATCCCAATGGGACCTCAGGGGGAATGTGGAATTTGCCTCAGGATGGTCCTAACTTCCCCCGCATCCTCCTGTGAGGCTGGGCTGTTCTCCAATGTCCATCCCCCACTAGTTGAAGGCTGCTCTCGGGCATCAGCTACCCAGTGCTTCCCATCAGGTGGACAGTGGCGGGTGCTTGCAGTAGGATGCCTTCAGCAGGCACCTGGTAGGTGAGGGGGCTGGGCGATGGGCAGGCGCTAAAGCAATACTTGAGCTGCCTCACAGGATAAACTGCCACCTCTTTAAGTTACTGTGTTCAGGTCTGTGATGAAGGCTAAGCCTAATCCAAATTGGGGCAGCTGCTAATAGCTGTTTCGGCCGACAGAGCATTTTCTGTCCCTGCACCAGTTGGAAGACTCTCTGGGAAGGTCGCTGATTCGCCCAGCCTGGGTCAGATGTCAGCTGCTGGGGTCTGGGTGTGGGGTATGGTGGCTGGCAGCCCTCCCCTTCTATGCAGAGTGGGGAAGCGGCAATTCCTAGCCCAGGAAGAACAGGTGCGCGGTTCCCAGCAGGAGGGGCTCGGGGCAGATGAGACAATAGATCTCCCCCATACATATTGAGGTTTGTTTGTTTCTTTTACTTTGTGGATAACAAATACACTCACAGAGGAGCTGCAGTTTAATGAAACCATTTAAGTGCCCAAACTGAACAAGCCCCACCACCGAGCTGTTGCTGGGTTTGGAAACATAAACCTGAGAAATACAGGCAGATTTTTTTTAAAGTGTTCAGTTTATACAGCAACGTATGTGACAGAAGAGAAAGTAATCTAAGTCCCCAGTAGTTCAGAGGCCACTCATTAGCATTCTTTCTCCTGCCTGCCATTCAAGGCGGGTGGAGAGACCTCGGGCAGTCACTGAACCTCTCCCAGCCTCAGGTTCCTCATCTGTAACATGGAGATACGCTGGATGCATTGCCTATGGCAGTGGTTCTCAACCTTCTGGCCCTTTAAATACAGTTCCTCATGTTGTGACCCAACCATAAAATTATTTTCGTTGCTACTTCATAACTGTGATGTTGCTACTGTTATGAATCGTAATGTAAATACCTGATATGCAGGATGGTCTTAGGCGACCCCTGTGAAAGGGTCGTTCAACCGCCAAAGGGGTCACAATCCACAGGTTGAGAATCGCTGGCCTATGGGCTTACCAGGTTAAGCAAAGTAAAGCGTGCGACTGGCTCCTGGCAGCTTCTCATTAATTGTTTGATGGTGATGACGATGGCGATGATTTCCTTTGTCCTCCCTGTGGGAGACTTCCCTGCTCGGTCACATTGTTCTTTGGTGGCCACCTAGAGGCCAGCTGAGGCTTCCCGCAGCGCCACAGTTTTCTCTCACCACTGCTTGCCAAGAGCATCCCTTTCCCCATCACAATCAGAGAGGTCGCCTTCCAAGCAGAGCTGGGAGGCCGGAAAGGTGCTCCCGGTGGCGGGTGGAATAGGGCGAGGCTGTCTGTGGGAGGAGTAGGGGGACTGGGCGGGAGCTGGCTGTGTCCTAATCCCCTCCGCTCGCCTGGCCAGGACTTCAGCCCCACAGAGCCAGGGAGCGTTTCTCATGGAGGCATGCCCGCCATGGGGGGGTCGCTTTCCATCCGCTCATTTCACTGCTGAGCTGTAAAGTGCTAAATGTCGTTATCTTCCCCTTCCTTAAACAAGAAAAAAAGTTAACAGCCTGAGAAAAGGAGATACTTCACTTTGTTTGGCATCCAGCCACCATCGTCCACACGGGGCGCTGCTCCCTCGGGGACGATTAGGGCCGGGAGAGCCCTGTTCTGTTCTGCTTTCAGTGGCTAGCACCGCTGTGTGCGGGCTTCAGGCTGGGTGGACACCAGCAGCTGGAAGCCAGGTCAGAGCTGGGCCGGGCTGTCGGCAGAGTAGCCAGCCACCTTCTGAACAACCCAAACCCTGCAACAGGTGCCACAACAGAAAGAGAATGGGGCCAGACGGAAGTGACTTGTTCAGGTCACCATGCTTATTAGGGTCTGTTCTGTGTGGCCTCAGAAGCTGAACTTGAATCAGAAGATAGAAAGTACAGAAAAGAGGATTTCAACTAATAGAAGGACAAACTCAAAAGACAGACCCGTTGAAAAATGGATTGGTTCCTTCAGGAGGTAGTGAGCTGCCTGTCTGCCAGAGGTGTGCACGTGGTTCAGACCCTCCTTTCAGAACAATCACTGCTGAGAGGAGTCCTGCTTTATTTTTTAAAATATATTTTTATTGACTTCAGAGAGGAAGGGAGAGGGAGAGAGAGATAGAAACATCAGTGATGACAGGGAATCATTGATCGGCTGCCTCCTGCACGCCCCACACTGGGGATTGAGCTTGTAACCTCGGCACGTGCCCTGACCGGGAATGGAACAGTGACCTCCTGGTTTATAGGTCAACACTCAACCACTGAGCCACACCAGCCGGGCAAGGAGTCCTGCTTTGGATGGAGAAGCTGGAGGAGGCGATGACTAAGGTTCTTTCCAACTCTGAGATTCTGGAGACCTGCAACTGAAAAGTCTCACCTGCTTTCCTTCACCACGCCTTGCTCACACTGGCTAAACAGGAGTGTCTAGCTGCCTGCGGTCTGTGCTAGAAGCAGAGGAAGGAGTGGGCAGGCGCACGAGGCGTGATTTATCTTCATTACTCCCATCATGGGGTCATTAAGGCTTTTACTCTGCAGTGCTCCCCTAAGGAGCTCCTGCTGCTTCAGTTGTGTGACACAGTTGTTCCCCCAGCTGCCCAGTGGGCAGGGGTGTTTGCAAGGCTCAAAATTGTAATTAGATAAAGATCAGCCACCCACTAGCTTCCCCCAACCAGCCAGAGTCACGGTCCTGGGGGCGCAAGGTCTGGCTTCAGCAGTGGCTTGCTGGAGAGGGGTGGCCAAGGACCAGGTCCCGAGGCCCAGGGACAGCCATACTCTCCTCCCCACTGGGCTGGGGAGAGGCCACTAATACAGGGTGCGTATGACTGGTGTGGAGGGGGAGGGTAGCAGCTCTGCCAGCTAAAACCTTCCACAGCTTCCTGTTAGTCTCCACAAGTCTCCACTGCAGCCCACAAGGCCATGCATAACCTGCTGTGCAGGTCTAGCCTGCGAGCTCCCTGAAGGTAAGGGCAGGTCTGTTTTGTTCTCCAATGGAGCCCAGAGCTCGGCACTATGCTTGGCACTCGACCAGTGCTCGGTATGTGCTAGTTGAGTGAAAGAATGGAAGGCCTGTTGTCCTCTTAGACTTGATAGACGTAAACTGGGCAGAGGAGGCAGCCCGGAAAGGGCAGAGGACACTGGCCCACAAGTCTGGAAGTGGGGCTCCAGTCTGAATCTGTCATCGCCTGTGGGCAGGGCCTCGAGGGCGGGGCCTCAGACGGAGAAGGCGCGGCGGCCCCGAGGCGCCC